CTTTTTTTTGATCATTGTTTTTAAACAAATCCTTGAGGGATACTTACTTTACTTTCATTATATTACTTGCTATGACCCGTACACTTGCGGTGAGCAACACTGTTCATCTGGTCTTGGTGAAACCGCCCATCAGGTCTTGGTTGTTTTCATCAATCCAGTCCTAGTAGAAGTTAGTTTTTTGGTTTAAATCATATTCGGTGCTATAAACCCATTCAATGTTGATAATCGGGTCCTGGTAGAAGTTGATCATTCAAATCGTTGACTTTGATTAGAATGAACTGCCTATGTAGTCCAAGTTTCTTTTAAATTTAATTATAAAATTTGAAATTTAAAATTTTACTTTATATCTAAGTAAAAGATTTTAATATTAAAATTTAAATTTTTTTATATCATTCAAATAAATAATTTAAATCTATGAATTTTTATATATGAGATTTCAAATATGAGATTTTAAATTTAAATTTTCAACTTACATCTACCCACCCAAATGCAACATCAAAGTTTAGCAGAGCCATTGTATTCTCCAACCCGTTCACCCCCCATATTTAGGAGATAGTCTTAAAGGGATCAAAATGATAAAATTAAATTAAAAGGGACCAAATTGATTATTGAGATAAAATTTGAGAGATTTTCATTATCCCTAATTAAAAATGAAAAAAAATACTTATTTAATCTTATTTATAAGTAACTTTTAAGTTTTATATCATATTTCATTAGAATATCAAGAAAAATTTTAAAATTTATTAATTCGATCTAAAAGTTTAATAAAATTTTAAAATTTACCCTCTCTAAACTTACATAATTTAATATCATATTTTTTTCACTAACATTTAATGAAATGTAAAATAATTAATTATGATAAAAAAATTAATAATATAACTTATAAATAAAAAAAATTAATCTTTCATCACCTTGTAGGACTAGACAGAATATATATGCTTAGTCTTATATACATATAGCATTTATTCTCAATTAAATTAAAATATGTAAATTTTTGTTTTTAAAAAATATAACATACAGATCTTTTATATTGTATTAACATTTTAAAATTTATTTGTTTTAATTCGAATGAAAAAAAAAAGTATATTACTTACGTATATAAGATTAATAACTAGGTTTTCTTAAAAAAATTGGGAAAAAAAAAAAAGAAGAGCTCAAACTTGGTGGGTCCATGGTATCCTCAGACCCGTTCCATCCACCACCCCCCTATATCTGGAAGAGAAAATTAGTCTCGGGCAAGAAACCAAGAAGAATAAGAAAGAAAGACAGAAAGAAAGAAGAGCCATGGCTGTGATCTGTTGGAACAACATCCCAGAGATTGATCTGCAAGAATCTGCAGATAATAACATAATCGTCAAGAACTGAAGAAGAAGCTGAGAGAGGCGTGCCAGGAATGGGGATGTTTCAGAGTGAAGAACCATGGAATTGATTCAAGCTTGATGGAGAGATGAAGAAGGTGGTGAGAAGTCTGCTTGATCTTCCTCTGGAGATTAAGATGAGAAACACTGATGTTATTGCAGGAAGTGGATATATGCCTCCAATTCAGCCAATCCTCTCTATGAAGGCTTGGGACTCTACATGGCTTCGTCTCAGGCCGTCCAGGGCTTTTGTTCTCACTTAAATGCCTCTCCCCACCAAAGGTTTCATTTCTTCAATTTTTCTTCATCTATCTCAGTTGGACTAAAAGTTTACTCGTAGATAGATAGATATATACTGCTCTGTTCTAATTAGACTCCTCTGATTTTATTCAAAGGACCAAAAAGAGATTTTTTTTTAATTTATTATAAAATTATGTTATTATTTTTTATTATAAATTTTTTAACCCTCATAAATATTAAAAAAATTTATTGTTAAAATATGTAATTTAGCGGAGATAAATTTAAAAATTATTAAATATTTAGATAAAGTTAGTAAGTTTTAAATATTTTTTAATATTAATAAAATATGTTAGAAAATAATTTATAAATAAAATTAGAAGAGTATATACGTGTTTTGTAGAAAATTTTCTTAGTCGAGTATTATATAATATTCTCTTCATCCCAAGTTATATATAAAAAATTTTTGAAGTGATTTGATATTCCAAAATATCTTCATATTTTGACAAATTTTTTTAATATTGATAAAATATGTTAAAAGTGATTTATCAATGAAATTAAACAGTATATTGTGTTTTCTAGAAAATTTTCTTAGTCGAATATTATATAATATTCTCTTCATTCATCTCAATTATATATAAATATTTTTAGAAGTTATTTGATGTCCTAAACTATCTTCATATTTTGACAAAAGTAATGTTTCATTAAGATTATATTAAATTAAGGGTATTTTTTTAAAAAAATTATACTTCCTTTGTTAAAAAATGTAAGATATTTTTAACAAAATTTCACTTTCAATAAAGTAGTTACTTACTTTTAAACTAACTATATTTTTTCATATTTGTCCCTATTAACACCCTACAATAAATATAAAGTTATTATCAATAAGGGCACTTAAAAAAAAGGCAATGATTACATTTCAAAAGATTAAAAATGCCTTATATTTTTAACATCTAACTCCTCAAAAAATAGTTTTATTTTTCAAATGGAGAGAGTATTTGTTTTTTAAACAAATAAAATTGTAAACTATATTTTATGAACTTTATTAATACACATAATTTTGCTAAAAAGTGTCATATAAGTGAGATGGAGGGAGCAGTATATAATGGCTTTTACTTTTGTCCTCCAGAGACTTGGAGAATGATAACATAAATATGTATGGGGGGGGTTTGCATTCATTTAATTAATTAACAAGCTTAACTACTACTCCCTACTGAGTAAAGGGTAAATAGAAAAAAAAAAAGTCTTTAATAATGATTGACTTCACATTGACAAAAATTTGCTTTTGCTTATACGTAATATTTGGCTTTAACTATATCATGGAAATAAGGGAAGCCTTGAAAAGATGTCTCATGTTTGGATCAAGGAGAAGAGAAAAAATAGATGAATGAATAGAAGTGAAAATAGATTTTTCTTATTTCGAAATAGTGAAAAAAAAAATAGAAAGCCAAAAAGGGACTAAAAAAGGCGCATAGGGCTCACATTTTTTCCAAGCATAAAAAAAGTGCTTGATAAATAATGTCCAATAAAATGCCATTAATTCATAAATAACACAGGAATAGTTAACTAGCTTCTACACTTAACACCACAGAGGAAGTAGCTTATTGGTGAATCCGTCGATAGAACACTTTGAGACAATTAATTCTAGCCATTAATATCAGTAACCTTGAAATATTTGCAATTACATGAAGGTTTGGAGCAATGGAAGGTTTATGTACGCGAAGCATAGAGTAGAATGCAAAGAAGCAAGTGTTAGGGTTTCAATAGCTTCATTTCTGCTGGGACCTAAAGAAGAAGAAGTGCGAGCACCTGAAGATCTTGTGGACTCTGATGGCCCGTCTTTTCCTTCCTTTGCTTATGAACACTACAAGAAGCTCAGCGCTCTCTAACAACATGCGTGCTGGTGAAGCTCTAGCCCTCCTTCACACCATTCAAAACTTCAATCCTAATTAAAAGTCCATTGAAATATATATATAAATTAGATATGCCATGAAGTGCTTCTTTTGAATAAGTGGAGACACAAGAGGGTCATATGGTGGAATAGAATGTCAGCCTTGACTCTTCTCTTTTTCTCTCTCTTTATTATTTGGATTACTTTAGAGAATCTGAATTCAAAAACAATACTCCTCTGATCCGATTTTTTTAGACAAAAAATATATTTTAATCTTATTTATAGATAATTTAATAATTTATAGATTTATCTTTTTCATTTTACCCCTATTAAATATAGAAATTTTATTAAATGTTAAATATTTTATTTTAATATATATATATTATATATTAATTGGGATAAAGTTAAAAAGCTTGTTCAATTTTTATATAAGAATTAATAACGTTTAAAATTTTTTCTTTGTTCTTGTGAAAATTAGAAGTGATTTATAAATGGAATTAAATAGAATATTGATTAAATTTTTAAGATCTATTTAAAATAATTGTGATTTTTAGCCTAAAATTAATTAAGAGAAATTTGAAAGCCATCCTTATTAAAATCCTTATTATGGTTGTGGCAAAATCGTAATCGTCCGTTTATTTTGTCCTTCTATCTTTTGTAGTTTTAATTAATTGAATTCATTTTATAGGGATAATGAAACTTTAGTCTTTTAAGTTTGTCTCATTATCGATTTAAACTTTCAATTTAAATTTAGTTTCTCATTTTTTTTAAATTGTCATATTTGTTATTTAAGTTTTTACACTCAAATTGACTCAAAAATTAATTTAATTAAAAGTTAATATGTTGATAGTTGATACTTGTATGGTGTACATAGTTAAATGTAAACTAGCCCTAAATCAATTTAATTTTTATTAATATAGTCCCTAATGTTGTGTTCAATTATTTTGCATTCAAAAATTTTTGAATTTTTTTACCTAAGGAATACACTTTTTTTATTAATAATATATGATTGATATCAATATTTTATTATTTATGTCAACAAATTTTAATCATTTTATATTTTCTTTAAATAATAAGGAAACATTAATAATTGAGACAAACTTAAAGAATCAAATCAATAATAATTAAAATTTGACAGGCTGAATCAATAATTGAAACGAATTTAGATATTAAAAGTTTTTATTTCCCTTTATCTTATTTATGGAGGCCTTGTTTCATCTCGCTTTTGAAGATCAAAATCATATTTAAACTTTTAACTCGAGGTCAGTTGCGCTAAGGCTACGTGTAATAATTATATTTTGGTATACATTTAATTACTTCAACTATAATTCACTAATTTTCTTAATGCTTGTGATTAAGTAAAAATGTTGGGAGTTAAAGGGGTTTATGATCACAATATAATGTCTTGAGTTTGATTCCATGTGAATGTATAAAAAAATAACTTCAATTTGATAGAGCTACTGCAAATTTAATCAGCTCAAATATAAACCTTAGATAACCTTATTAAATAAAGAAAAAAGAAATGGCCAACCAACAAAGGGTTGGGTTTGGTAACACCCTCCAAATTTAAAAACCAATTTTTTACAAATTATTAATTCAATAAATTATTTTTTATTGAACCCTTATCATGGTAGAAAAATTTCTACCATGATACATCCAAGATAATATACCACAGATCTTAAAGATCTCAAAAAAGAGCAATTAGAACCATGAGGGATAGACATAATTCTCGTGGCATGATATTCAAATCAGATCATAAATGAAGAGGGACAGACATAATCCTCTTGATCATATAAATACTTTTAATAAAAGGATTGAGTTTACATGTTTCTCAAAGAGATATGTCCTAAGTTGGCACAAGATACATTGTATATCCAAAATAAGAGGCAACGTAAAGATGGTGTCTCATACACCATAGTTACACCTCTTGTGCTTTCTCGCGGCCGGACTCTCTCCTGTAAAAATATTAACCACGGGGAATGAGACTTAAAAGTCCCAGTAACCAAAAATTAATATGTAATTATGCATGCGGATGTAACTAATCATGCGATTGCTAAGTGGGCACACAAAAAATTTAACCGAACAATACTTTCAAACAAAACCGAACAACTATTTAATTTGCATGACTGCACCTTATATCCTCCTTTCGCCATGCTCAGACGCCAAATCACCCGGCCAAAGGTGAGTTAGACCAAGCGACACACCACTCATTGGGTCCAATGAGGGCTTACCACGTGGTAATAATTAACCGAATAGAAATTTCCATTAACACCATACATTAAAATACCCTGACAAGTCATGCATCATTCAAATATCCAAACAGGAATATATCCGAACAATAATATCTCATAATGATAAATAAAAATAAATTTTTGACCCACTTGGGCAATAATTCAAAACAAGTATATAACAGTATTTATTTTCAATAATTCATAGTTTTCCAAACAACAAGTAAACACATAAACATTCACAAACACACTCATCACAACACATTAAATAATGATTACCTTGGTCTTGAATAACAAGTTCCCCTTCACAACTCCTCTTTCGCCACTATCTTTGTTAATATAATCTACATAATTATTTCACAATGCTATATATTAATTTTACATTAAAATAAATAACTCTATTTAAAGAGTTAGAAAGTCTTAGATCTATAATCCATATTAACACTAATTTAAAATTTATGCCTCATTTAACTTCTCAAATTCTTTTCTAAAATCTGTACCCTAATAAACTATTTTTTTTATTCTCAATTCACTTCTAGTATCACAATTTCATCCTTCTATATTCTAAAAATCGTTTAAAAATAAATTAAAAATTTTAGAATTATCCTGAAGCCTCAAATCACACCTTTTTTAACCTCAAAAATACCTATTCATACTTAATAAATATTTAATAATCATAGGTTTATCCCTACATCTCAGATTCTACATAAATTCAACCATATAGATCTAGATTTTAACTCAAAAATTCTTAAACATGAGTTTCAATCTCAAGAAAATATTCTATAATATTTATTATATCCCTAAGAGTTTTAACCTATATTTTTAATCTATCATATCATTAGATTAACTATCATATAGAAAAATTCTAATCAAAATATTTACTCTATCCTACAAAATAATCATATCACTAGAAAGCTAATATTATTTAGAAAATAACTATAAAATTAATTTGTAATTAAATAAATTTTTAAATGCTAATCTAAATAGGAAAGTTGGAACATACTTGAAGAAAAAGAAAATCCTCCTTGCGAGAAGACGCCGAGCAACGTGAGAGGAAGAAGAAAAATAATATAAAAATGGGATTGTGGGTCCCAAAATTATATTAAAAAAAACTATAGGTTTGAATTTAATTATTCAAACCTTTGGGCCATAAGTTACAATTTTCTCTAAATTGCATCTTAGCCTCTCATGCTTCCTAATGCACCACCCCCTCCTTTTTATACATGAAGGCACCTCTTCTCTTTCCTCATTTAACCAATGTGGGACTTAAAAACAACAACCTTCCACCCTCTTTTTTTGTTCCTTCTACCATACCATCTTTTTTTTAAACACAAAAATTATTTATGTATTATATCTTAACTAAATATTGCTTATGTGGTTTTAAATTTAAATTTTTAAATTCATAATTAAAATACCTAATCATAATATTATTTCTAATAACTTCAAATAATATAAATTTCTATTATTATCATTTTTTTTCCTCAAAACCTAAATTCTACAATTTCTTTATTATATAAAAATCAGGATGTTACAGATTTAGTAAAAGAAGCTTATTCTTCACAATGTGGTGAATAAGATTTGAATCCTCAATTGTCTTGAATAAAAGAATACCTGTGAATAATTAAAAAAAAAAAATAGGAGAAGGATGGGATAAGGTGGGGGATTAAAAAGATTGAGTTAAAAAAGGAGGATGAGTCACGCACGTTCTAATTCATACCGAATATTCAACGGTTTTTTGTTATCTTTCATCATCTATCATCCAAACATAAAATACGTAACTCTGATAAAAGTCTTGATCCCTTCACACTTTATGTTTGCACATTCCGTCGCTCGGCTCAACTCATAATTTTAAGTTATAAAGAAAGACGACGTAGAGAAATACGGTTGAAGAAATCGACAAAACCTTGGAAAAAGCTAAACATTGGTGTCGTCACCAGACAGATCCCCTCAACCTCAACCTACTCAAATGTACGAGTACAAAAAACCACCACAGCAACAGAGAGTGTTCATGAACAAAGTTCCAGAAAAGAAAACCACAGTGAAAGAGAATGGACAACGACGATGACTAGCAGCAACAACATCCCATTGATCGATCTGCGAGAATCTGCAGAAAATCCTAAAGATCTGATAAAGAAGAAGCTGAGAGAGGCGTGCGAGGAATGGGGATGTTTCAGAGTGAGGAACCATGGCATTGATTCAAGCTTAATGGAAGAAATGAAGAAGGTGGTGAGATGCCTGCTTGATCTTCCTCTGGAGATTAAGATGAGAAACACTGAACAAGTAATTGCAGGAAGTGGGTATATGCCTCCAAGTTCAGTGAATCCTCTTTACGAAGGGTTTGGACTCTACGACATGGCTTCTTCTCACGCGGTTCAATCTTTCTGCTCTCAATTAGATTCTTCTCCCCATCAGACGTAACTCTCTCTCTCTCTCTCTACCTCTTTTCCCTTACAGTGATATGTTACATGCACACACATATATCTAATATGGGGGTTGCAGCAAATGAAGAAAGAGCTTGAATAAACTAGCTAAGTTAATTACCTTGAAGCATATTTTGTTCCATGGAAACTCAAATCTAGGTAGAATATCACTACAAAAAAATTGACTTTGCCATCACTGAAAATTAAAAAGTGTCATCATTAAAAGTTTTCAACGGCGATCAAAAGTTGTCACAATATCACCATGAGAGCTCTTATCATTGATTTTATTTATCACCGTTGAAAATTGAGAATTAATAGCAACAAATGTCATCGCAGAAAAGAAAATTTATCACTACAAAAAGACAGTTGCCGTTGAAAGTTAAGAATTGTCACCATAAAAACCACACATCAGCGGCGGCAATTTGGTCACCGTTGAATGTTAAGTATTACCCACCACCACCTATGTCATCCCTCCATGTATTGCCTTGACCTCATATCACGTGACGCCATGTCACCCTCCACGTGGTGGAGGTCGCCCCCACCTTACACCACGTGGTATCATGTCAGCAATTTATATTTTCATTTCATAAGTTGCTTTTATCAAGGTTTGAATTCCATAATCTCCTCCTTTTGTGTCCCACGATTTTGCCACTGAATTGAATGAACATGCAGTCTATTACTGCATAATTAAATATATATATATATATATACGCATATTATTAAACTATACAAACACATACATATATATTAAATATTATAAAATTTTATTACTATCATTAAATACTTTAATTTAATTCTTTTAATTTATTCAAATTGCAAATTATATTATTTATTGTTGTCTAAAGTAACTGTAAATATAGTTGACACAATATCATTTGTATTATTTATTTTAATTTTTTTACTTCTTGAGATTATTATGTTATTTATTTTAATGTTCATATTTATAATTATAATATAAAAATATTTAAAAATAAATAGTAAAAATATAGATAATTATACATTAGTTCATAATTATTTATTTTTTCTAGCTATTTTTATTTAAAATTTTATTTTTATTTTTAATTAACAATAACTCTTAAGTAATGTAATTGGGTTGTTTTTACATTACACTTTACTTTTTTAATTAATTTTTTTAAATTATAATTTTATAAAAAAATTATACACTATATTATCTATTTTTTTATATTTATGTCACAAGATAGCATCAAACAAAAAATATCATATAGCATCAAATACATAGATATATTTTGTATATTGTAAAAGTTAAAAGTAAAATTTTAGAATATCTCATTTTTTATCTTTCTCTTTTCTATCATTAGTCATCAAATTGGGAACATCTAAACTGATATCAAGCTTTAAAGTTACTAGTATTAAATATAGAATTTGAATTGAAAAATTATATTAGATTAAATATTATTTTATGAATGAATAAATTTAACTATCACATATCTAATTATTATAAACAAGTAGTGTTATTATTTAAAATATCAATTTAATCATAAAATATTTAAAATAGAGACTCATTACCACATTATATGCATTCTAAATTAAAAAAAAATCAAACATTAGATTTTTGAATGAATTTATCACTTCACATAGGGGTATGCATTAATCAATTCAATTAGATTTGGTGTTATTTGACCAAAACTAATTAACTAAACTGGCTTGAATAGTTGTATTAAATCAAATCAAATATCATTTGATAACAAAAATTGATGTAAAATAATATGATTTAGTTTAATTCTTTACTCTGACTTATTAATATTAAATAATACATTAACCATATCTTAAAATAATTTTACTATTTTAAATTTACAATTTAACCATAAAATATATTAAATGAAAACTCATTATATTATTTTATATATTCATTATAAAATTACAATAATACAATAAAATTAATGTCTTAAAAATTTAAATATTAGTTAAACAAAAATAAAAAATATTGTTAAAAATATAAAATCAAACTTTTAGTGGTGACTCAAAAAAGTTGCCATTGAAAGTCTTACTTTCAGCGATGACACTATAAAGTCACCGTTGATTGTCAACTTTTAACGATAACTTATATATCGCTGTTGAAACTTATAACATATTTATTATAACATTAATTTTTAAGAAATTATAATACATTTTAAAATATGGAGACAATCAATGGACTCTAAAAAGTTGTCAATGATTGTCAATTTTCAGCAGTGACATAAACTTGTCATCATTGAAAATTTGACAATTAACGACAATAATATATTGTCACCTCAAAAAGTCACCCTTTTAATAGTGACTTTGAATATCACTGTCAAAAGCCAAACTTTCAACAGCAACTTTTTTTTGTCGCCACAGATTGATCATTTTCAACAACAACTTTTTAGAGTTGCCATTGAAAGTCGTCATTAAAAGTTATTTTTTTTTAGTGTATTGTGGGTAAAGCCAGGAATATGGATCAAGTTTTGAGGAGCCACCAGTTTAAATCTGTTTTTTTTTTAAAAGGCTCAAGTTTGAAAATTTGGAGCTTTTTTGCATAATTAGGATTCAAGCCCATTTAGTCCTATTAAAAAAAGGCTTACTTCAGCTCATTTTTGTTTTACCCTAAAAAATAAAATATTTTTAATTTTTTAATTAAATTTAAATTTTAAAATATATATTATAATTTAAAATTAAAATTTATATTATTTATTTTAAATTTTTCGAAATTAGAATAAGAATATGAAATATTATAATGTAAAAATTTAATTTTTAAAAATAAAAAATAATAAAAATTAGTTTATGATTCTTTTAAATAATGGTCAAGTTTCAAAATAATTGATTTTGAAATAATAAAGCTTTCAGGCTTGAGTTAATAAGAGCCACACTCATATGTGTCAAGCTTGTCCATTTCCTAGGTCTAATTGAGGGAGCATATAACATGAAGTTATCAATTAAGGTTGGGCTTTGCAAACTACATGTATAGGCCTCTTTATTTTAAGGGTCAGGCTTTCAAAAAAGAAATTTTTGCATACAAAAGGCTTTTAAGCTCAACTCTTATAAGCCCTTTAAAAAAATGTAATAGCTCAAGCTTGAATTAGCTCTTTTAGGTCCTATATTTTTTTCTCGCTTTTGTCAATCAACACATGATTGAAATTGTTAAAAATTGTTTAGTTGAAATTGTTTATATTGCAAATAGCATGGTTGAAATTATTTGGTTCATTTTTATTTTTGAATTAACGTATGACAACACTAATGCAACCCACTTGGAGCATAATGTCGGCAAGTTAACAAACTTGCTTGGGCAAAAGCCAACTTTAAGAGTGGCTTGTCCTAAAACAAATACCTTAATGATTGAAATGTCCCTACCAAATTTAAATATAGGTTACTGATAACATAAATGTTCTGAGTTCAAGTCTCTTTCAATATACACAAATAGAATATTCAGCATATTATGGTCTATTCAATTAGGATCTCAATCCCTTTCAAATAAGTGCAAAATATAATGAAGATTATTTAATATACACTATATTATTTTGGATATTAATTTGGAATTAATTACTGCTAATTCACAAATATTCCAACAGGAAAGTGATAGAAGCATATGGGAAAGCAATTCATGAGTTATTGATAGATGTATCAGTGAAGATGACAGAAAGTTTAGGTTTGGAAGAAGGAGATGGATATTTCAAGGAATGGGCGAGTCAATTCAGGATTAACAAGTACAGTTTCACACCAGAAACAATAGGATCATCTGGTGTGCGAATCCACACAGACTCAAGCTTCCTCACCATTCTTCAAGACGATGAACATGTTGGAGGGCTTCAAGTCATGAACAATAAATCTGGTTCCTTTGTTGATGTCCCTCCTTGCCCAGGAAGCCTCTTTGCCATTCTTGGTGATATAGCTCATGTAAGTTAATTATATATATGTCTTGGCCTTCAATATCTTAATTAATCATCATCAAGAGCTTTTAATGTTTGTTATGTGGAAGGAAAAGAATTTTCAAAATTAAAATTGTTAAAATCTTATCTGATATCAATTGTATGTGTTATAATTTTAATTTGAATGGATTATTTGATTAAAAAATTTAATAGACGATTTTGTGGCTTAGAATTGAAGTTAAAAGACTGATATAACACTTGTAAGAATTGATGTGTTATTGAGTTATATTATTGCTTTTTTCCTTCCTAGATTATTAGGAGAATTATGCACTATTTTTTGTTTCCTATTTTAATTTCTTTCATATCTATAAAAATGATGAATCTAAAAAATGTTAAGTTCATGTTTGTCTACTCAGTTTTGTTGACCAAAATCACTTTTAGAAATTTCACTTTTGCTTACTATTGTGGCTGCCTTTCACACGCTCCTTTTGCTATATGGCTTGTACGTAGGCCTTTAAAGTGGACAAAACATCAATTTGCTAAAATTGAGGATACATGCAAGCAATTAAAAAAAAAATGAAAGAGTTTCTTCTAACAAAAGTGGGCCATACAAAAAAATTTTAGGTCTCAAGATCATCAATAGACAAACAAGCTCTTAATTTGTTCCAATAACTTAAATTTAAAATTGACACAAACTGAAGGAATTGCAACTTAAGAAGATTACAAATCCATGTATGTCTCTGTGTATGAACAAACTGTGTTATTTACAAATTAAATTATGAAGTGAATAATACAATTCATTCCTTAGAAGATGACAATTAGGTCTCAAAATATCTATTTAATGATAGTTAGATTTTCGATAAAATTTTATAAAAAGTAGTTTGCAAATTAAGAATTACTTTTAGAATGTAAATAAATACTTCATTTGTAATTGAGACTCTAAATTTATAACTATCTAATTTTGTTTATTTTCAATTGATTTAAAAAAAATTGTCAAAGACCTAGATATAATTAGATTGATATTCTGATACTTAATTGTCATTCTCCTCTCATTTTTGAAACTCAATATAAAACATGGGTTTGATCGATGTGTGTAGGTATGGAGCAATGGGAGGTTTGGGATGGTGAAGCATAGAGTATGGTGCAAGGAAGCAAGTGTGAGAGTTTCAATAGCTTCATTCTTGTTGGGACCAAAGGAGGGAGACATAGAAGCACCTGAGGAGCTTGTGGACTCTGATCATCATCCTCGTCTCTTTCTTCCTTTCTCTTATGAACATTACAGGAAGCTTAGGGTATCCCAAAAAATGCATGCCGGAGAAGCCCTCGCCCTAGTACGCGTCATCTCTACAGCCTCTGATTAAATTTAGAGTATCTAGATTTAAATAAAAAATAAAATTTAAATTATCTAATTAAGTCTAATCTTAAATGCTCTAGATGTAGTATTAAATCACTAAAGACATCTGATTTCTAGAGCCCATCAAGCGATGTGTAATCAAAATCATCCACAGTTTGATGATTAAACTTCAATGGTGAAGAATTACATATATATATATATATATATATATTAGGACAGTATAAACCTTGGAGAATGATTATTTTTCAATGAAGAATTTAGGGAGAATTATATCTATCCCTCTTAAGGAAATTAATTACAAATAAAGATTAATAATAAGTTTTATTTGAAAAAAAATTAGTTTTATTCTCATTTTAACAACAATCTGTTATGCATTAGTTCTTATTTATTATTAATTTCCTCAAGGGGATTGGATGTGATTCTCCCAAGAATTTAATGTCTAGTTATATTTTTTTTCTTTTTCAAAATTTTAAATATGGACCAATCATTTTGAATTACTTTTAATCATTCAATTGATCAAGGTCATCTAACCTCTTTAATTCAAGATGGTGAATGAATATTCAAATTCCTACTAGGGTCTAGGGAGAGGTGCCTAAATTACTCAACCGTATCTCAAATAATATTGTTTCTAATAGAAGAACATATGTTCACAATAAAAAAATAACTAATTACTATTAATAAATTTGCACTTTCAAATTTATTATACAATCAAACTTATTCAAAATAAGGGTTACCCTAAAAATTAAAAGACTATGAAGGTCTTGCAAAATGGAATGCTTGTAGTTTTGTTTAATCATCTATTTTTTTCTAGCTGTGTGAATTAAAGGAGAATTTTATTTTACTTACGTTTTTTTTTTCGGCCCTTCTTTCTGCTTTTAGCTGTATGAATACGTATGTTTGATTGACAAGAAAGGGGTGGCATAGACATGGAAGCCAAAGGTTGGAAGGAGTTGTTTGGTATAGTTGAATAAAATACTCTAATCTTACGATAGCTAATCTCATCATCAACACCCCTTTACCTTCTACACGCCAAGATGACAAGCTTATCTTGGAGGCTTCTAAGAAAAGAGAGTACAAAGTTAAAGATGGTTTCAGTATATTGATATATAAATATTCTAGCAAGTTTGCCAATTCACTCTCCTCTCAGCCCTTATGGGGCTTTTTAATGGAAGATTAGGTTGCCAATGAAGTAACTTTAATTCATTTAGAAGCTTACCCATAAATCTTTACCGATGAGGGTTATCTTTTCAGCATCATCTTATTAACTTGAATATGTTCCCATTTGGTTGTTATGAGCAAGAAATCATTGGTCATATCTTTACCTAGTCTTGCCTACTTTTGATAAGTTATATAGTATTGGTAATATTAATTAGATTAAAGGAATCATCATTCTATTAAATTTAATCTGGTGTAGTAAAAATCTCAACAGAGAGTATTCTCTTTGAGTGCTTAAGAGAATGCTTTACTAAGGGTGTGTTTGGAAACTCTACATTTTACATCCCAAAAGTGCTTTTTTACTTTTGGAATGTGAAATGTTGTTTGGCATCAATTTATTAGATGAAATTTGCTTTCAAAAAGGACTTTCAAACTGGGTTGAAATGGCAAAAATCAACAACTCCATTTTGTAGCTCATTATTCTTTCCTTCTTCTCGTGCAACTGAGGCTTTGGGCTCTCTTATCTTATTACTCTCTTTGTTACTTACCTCATCTCGCTCCTCCATTACTCTGCCATCTCTTCGCTATCTCTCCGCCGTCTCTCCTCTTTCTCTCCTCCTCCATCTGGTCATAGATCTGAGTCCCTCCATTTCTTCCTTCCCCAATCTCCTCATTTCTTCTTTCGTCATCCTTCCTCACCATTCCAGTGCCCCATTTCTTCATTTTTACCTTGAATCTTTCAAAGATCGAGCTTGTTTTTGGACTTGAACAACATTGCGAAGTTGAGAGAAGTTGAAAAACCTAGGCTTACAACCTGTCGAGTGCAAAACTAAACTTTCGAACCAGCTTGTCAAACTCTGACCTCCTCCTTTGATTTGCTCTTCCATCTACAAGGTATGATGACTTCCAACCATTTTTTGTTAGATCCAAAAATAGTGGTCCTCTGTTTTGCATGAATATGTGAAAAAGAAGGATTGGTATGTTCAATCTAATCTGGTGGTTGTGAACATCGCATTCTGTTCGGGCCCCCCACAAAAAATAAATGAATAAAATAAAAAATTGAAGAGCCATTTTTTAATAAAAAATAAAAAAATAAAAAAATAATAATTAAATGAAAATTCCTAAATTTGTGCCTTAATATGAGTCTTCAATAAGGGGAAGTCAAATAGAAATCTAATCCCCAAAAATGTACCTTAATTTAAAATAGTAAAAGTCAAATAAAATTATTCACAAATTATGATTTGATGGAATTCAACCATTAAAATGAGAAGCCCTAATTTTCATCTATAAAAGGGTGGTGATCAATGCAAAAGAGGAGGAAGAAAAAAATAGGAAGCAACAAATAAAGAAGCTTGAGAGAGTTTGTTGTAAAGGTAGGGAATATTTATTTTCTTGTATAATCTCTACTTATTATAATATGATGTTAGGATTGGGTAGGGATGCTCTAGATAAGATAGTATCAATTGTTCATTATTTTAATACTCTAAGGAAAGCCAATCTTCTCATTTGAGATTACATGTATGATCTTTAAAAATATTGAAGGTTGAAGGGTATAGGATTAGTAATGATTTTGATGATCATTTTGATTTTCATTTTTTCCCTTCAAAAATTCCTGTGTGCATGTGTTTCTATATATTTTTATGGGTCCTTGCATTGTATTCCCTTTCTCCTCTTTTTGACCCACTCTTTTTTTTTGTTTTATTTTTTATCTATCTTATTTCCTTCTCTACCTCATTCTGAATCTAATTTCTTGGAGTATATCAATCTTTTTTTTAGTCTTGTGGCCAATGCTTGAAGCATCTATCCCTATATGTATATATGTGTGTTTTTCATTCCTTTATCCTTTTGGTTTTAATTCTTGCTTTTTCTTTTTTTCCTTTTCTTTTTTCTTTAGCCTCTCAATCAATTTTAACCACAAGTATCAGCTTTCTTTCTTCTTCTTTTTTTTCCTACTCCAAGTGTGGCCTTTCATTTGCATAGGTAGAAGAAAGGAAAATATATATGTAATTTTGTCATAATGAGCATACACGAACACATACACTCAAACATATATGTTAGTTGGTTATTTCTTTTGTTTATGAGATGATGATTAGATTTGACTGAAGGATCAAGAGATAGTAATGGTGTGAGAAACATTAGTGGAGGAGCTCTCCTAGAAATTAGGTAGGTTAACTTGAATAATGCATACAATGGTGGTACTAATTTAGGGAGGAAATGAAAGAGAGGTGAAAATGATCAAAACAAGAAGGGAAAACTCTTACATCTGTGATGGTTGATTTAGTAAGTTGTTTGGTTTCCAAACAACGGATAACTCAATAGAGAATGGAACAAAATTAGTTGATCAAAATGTGGTGGATGTTGAAAAGGGATTTTATGGAATCAAGGAGATTGCTTGTGATGAGATGCTTCTTGGACAGTATGATACGGCCTTGCTAGATAAGGCTATAAGGGACAATAGAGGAGCATTAGTGGCCTATTTAAAGTGCTTGGGCAAGAAAGCATATTAGGTCAATTTTAGCTTGCCTTCTCATGAAAAAAAGATATTTTTCTTCAACTTTGTGATAAATTGGTGCAACATGATCTATGTCTAACTGGAAGAATAGGGATTCATGAAATGGTCAGTATGTTCCTAAATATTGTTGGACATGGGGTAGGGAATAGGATGGCATAAGAACAATTTTAACATTTAACAGAGACTATTCACAAACATTTTAGAAATGTATTGCATGCTTGTGAGAAGCTAGCAAATGAATACATCCAACCAAAAGATCTCAATTTTCAAGATATATATCCAAAAATTTTAGGTGATCTACGATATTAGCCATTCTTTAAAGATGCCATAGGAGCAATTGATGGAATACATATCCCATGCATGGTTAGTGTCGAAGAGTAAGGGAAATATATTAGAAAGAAAGGTATTCCAACACAAAATATAATGGCTACATGTAATTGAGATATGTGCTTCACTTATGTCATGGCTGAATGGGAAGGGACTACTCATGATGCTCGTTTGTTTGACTATATACTCACAAGGCCGGACATGAAATTTTCACATCCATCCCAAAGTATATTTCATTTTTATCTAATTTAAAATAAATTTTCAATATTTTTTAAGATCCTACAATTTTTTATTGGTAGGTAAATATTATTTGTTAGATGCCGGCTATCCAACGCCACATGAATATTTACGTTCTTATATATCTCATAGGTATCACCTCTTAGATTTCAGGTATTCATCTAAATTTGCAAACAGTAATGAGGTTTTCAATTACTATCACTCAAGTTTAAGGACCACGATTCAAAAGACTTTCAGGGTTTGGAAAAACAGATTTGCAATCTTATGACACATGCCTAGTTATCCATTTGTGACGCAAGTTTGTATGGTTGGTGCAACAATGGCTATACATAATTTTATTCTAATAAAATCTATAACTAATTCTGACTCGAGGCATTTTGAGGATGAAAATATGGTTAACATTAATGATGATAATGATGACCATGCATTTTTATCATTAATTTCAAGTGCAATTTCAAGCGTGGCTTGTAATAGAAAGATGAATAGGGTTCAATATTCTATTAGAGATTAGATTGTATATTATAAAGCGAACCGTTAATTATGTAACAATTCAATATTAATGAATGTTTAACTATTTATTGCATAATTTTATCCAATATTAAATTTTATATTTTTTATTCTTATTATTTAACATTTTAAATTTTATGTTATTTTAAATTTGTTTAACATTTTTAAACATTTCTAATATATTATATTTATATAATAAAAATTATAAATTATCATAAATCAATATCTTTTTTGGTCATTGCATATTCAAAAGTACATTTCAAAAGAATAATTTTTTATTAATTCAAACAACTTTCAATTTGCCAAATTGACTTTTGAAAAAATATATCCAAATACAAATTTCATTACAATAATTGAGTTTTATCAAATTGACTTTTTTTAAATAAACTTTTTTCAAACTAACTTTCGACAAACTAAAAACCAAACACACACTAAGGTTTTGACTCTTCCCTTATCTAGAGGGTTCTTCGCAAGGTAGAGTGATGTCATCAATGACATTCCCTTTCTACCAAAAGCTAGGTTTGAGTGAGAGATTGTGTTGGATATTTGTGTTAGATGGTGCTAAAATCAAGGTCAGTGAGTGGGTAGTTTTACGAAATTCTAGATGCTATTTTGGGGACTTTTGAAATCAATGGAATGATAGAGCTTTTCTTTGGTTGAAATTGTGATAGACTGGCGATGGCAACTTTACTTCTTTTGAGGAATGAGCATCTTGCAAGCATCATTGATGTTTCAATGGGTATATGATTGCAACGATAATGGGAATTAACCTAAGACAAGGGGATTTAACAGTGGCTATGGTTGGAAACTACTCTTGAGAGATCAATGGCTTTGATATTGGCCTGCATTATAAACCTTCTTGATATGATTCCTTTATATCTTCTTTTAGCCTTGCTCTTGTGGATATGATAGGGGATATATCTCAAGAAGTTGATGTTTGGTTTAGTTTTTCACTTAAAATGGATGAAGTTCAAAAATCTTAGTTTATATGTCTTCTCCGGCAATTTGATAAAGCTAGATGTAACTTTTTGTTCAAGCCAAAACTTATTGATCTTACAAATTTTTTCTCAGTTTACTAGTGTTTCTTTGACCAATCACTAGGATGCTAATAATCTATATCATATAGGAGGTTTTGAGCATGGCAAAGATAATAGAAATTTAAAGGCTGCTAATGCCTTACTTGTTGATTAGTTTGATGGTCTTATCTTTGTTGCGGGGGTACATGTTAGAGTTATTATTAGAGGTAGTTTTGAGGTTATGAGGAATTTTGCAGGATCTTATCCTTATACTACATGGGATATATTCAAGCTTAGGGAAGCAAAATATGCTTTTAATTTTGGAAGAAATTTGTATGAACTTTCTTCCATTAACAATTTTGCTTTGATTTTTCCAGTCTCTTTGGTGAAGACATGCTTGTAGGAATGCTAGCCTAAATAAGCAAGCTATTGATGCAAGAAATATGGATGCTAATAATGCTGAACTAGGGGGTTCGTGTATATTTAGCGTTAGTGTTAATGAAGTTGAAGCCATGTAGACTAGTTTGAATTAGTGCATTAAGATTAGCTTTTACCATTTTGTTGTTGATTTTGTTTGCTTTCCACTAGTGTAGATTGTGAATTTGATGCATACTTGGTATGAGGGGAATAGCTTGACACTAGTGGAGAGATTGATGAGTTACTAAGGCTTCAAATGGGACCTAAGACTTACTATTGCCATTGTTAATTGTATTGCTCATGCAACTTATATAGGGAAGTGCTCTAATGAGTGGGTTTTGATACCCTCTTCCCACATGGCATCTATCCTAGCATGTGATTATTCTAGGACCTTTGTAATGTGCCTTGACATTATCAAAAATTCATAGTACATTACACACATAATGCACTATTAAGGTAATTAAGGGTTAATTGACCGTGATAACTTACTATGATAAGAAAGGGTTAACTAAATTATTTTGAATCATTTAAATTTGAGATCTCAATAAAAACCCTTTTTAAAATATTGGTTGAACTCAACATATGATAAAAATTAGAGTTTAAAACACATAGAAATTGTATGGGGATTAAATCATAAATAAATAATTGCATCTAGGGAAAAGTTGTAATTTCTCCAAATATGGCCCATTGGATGACATAAAGAGCAATGCCTCTCACTATGTCATATGCCTCAGTATGGCTACCACATACTACAACGCATTATGTAAATCATCATAGCTTTTTATTGTCATGACAACAAGACAAGATTAATTTTCAATATGCATTATTTCTCTATCAAATTTTTGATTGAAGTAATTTAAATACTTATACAAAGTTAACTCAATTATTTAGCTAATAGTGCTATTTTTATTTCGAAAAGGATACCCCATTTAAAAGTTACACTTCTGAATGCAAAACAGTTATTTTTCTAAAATTCACTTGCATCCAAGTGCCCCAATTTCCAACCAAGTGTCATTAACCTCAACTAAGGCTTGAACTATCTCCAATAGCTTAAATAAAAATTTTCTAACTCGAGCTTTGTCAATACCATTAAGTCTCTTGAGGATCTTATTTTTCCTATAAGGAATATTCCCAACTTTGTTTGAATTCCGAAGTGTCGCTTCCTTTTCAAAAGCTGAATTTTTTTTCACCCCAACTACTTGAATTCCAAGCCCGTTGAATAATACCAAGGAAATCCTCCTCAAGTTTCTAGGTTGCTTGGCATCTGAACAGTCTTATAGTATTTCACATGGGTTTGGCAGTAGAAGATTTGATATGCAAAGCTTTGTGGCCTGAACCGAATTTTTGAACACTTTGAATGATGGAAAAGAAGACGACCAATCGGCATTACCAAACGCCCAATCAATCATTTCCTTAACAAAGTTTTTCTTCCAAATGTCCCCGTCTCCAACTGACATAATATATGATAATTGACAATGATGTAAACAATCATTAAATTGTTTTATAACAATTACATTTGGTTTAGCCCCCCAGTCTCATCAGGATCAAATAAATAGCAATTAAAATCACCAGCAGCAATCCATGGTTCAAGAATATTATTACTCAGGTTGCACAAATCCTACCGAAGAGATTTACTCAAGTTGTACAAATCCTGAAAAGTAAATTTGCATTTTTTTTTAGAATTCAATATTATTTGGTTAATAAATTTTACCCACCTCAACTTCTGAAAAAGCATATTCAATTCAAATAGTCATAAAAGTGAATTTTTTAAATGTAATGGATTGAAACTTTTGATAAGCATATTCAACTTTTTTTATTGATATTTTATAATCTCTATATTCAATTGCTTGGGTTTTGTAAAAAAGAAAAATTTAAAACAAAAATTGACTATAAAATAATTCTTATGGTGGCCTTATAGGTTAAAGTATTTGGTTAAAATAATATTTTAATTTTTTTTATATAGATAAAAAATAGCATTGGTCTATTGAATTTGATTTTATATTCTTATTATTTAATATATCAAATTTTATGTTATTTAAATTTTTTATAATATTTTTAATATATCATATTTATATAATAAAAATTAAAAATTATTGTAAATCAATATTCTTTTTAATAATTATATATATATAAAATATTTTATTATATATAATTCAAATACAAATCTTTTTATAGCAACTCTTTTTAATTAAACTGATTTTTATTGAATTAATTTTTGACAAATTAACATTTAACCCTCCACCGTCAAACACTGACAGAATTCCTAAACGGCCGCTAATTGCCAAACGCAAATGTAAAAATCGAAGAACTGTGACCGGCGCTCTTAGCACCAGCGTCTTCTCCATTCCATTTGTCGCCGGCGCCGCTGCAGTGAAGTCGAGGCTTGCGCTCTCCAGTGAAGTCGCCTCTAGTCCGTGAGTGAAGTGTGAGTCCGTGAGTGAAGTCGCTAGTCGCCTCTCGCTCGCGAGTCTCGCCTGTCGAAGTTCAAGACTCACCATCATCTCGGTTGAGTCGTTCTCGTCGGCTGGAGAACAACGGCGCAGGGATGACAACGGTGGTCGGCTGGAGAGAATAGGGGATCGCGAGCTCAACTGTAGGGAGACGATTGTACTGAGAGGGAGGGGGAGAAAGGGGGGGAGGGAGATGGAGAGCAGTGAGGTTGAAGAGACAATTGCACGGTGAGAGACAGAGGAATGGGCATTTGAGCGCAGGTCTCTGCTCTAGATGATCGTGTTCCTCCACACTCCACAGTCCAGTCCATACTGCAAGTGTAAGTGTAAACTGTGAGGTGTGTACTCGCATCCAATACAGATCACTTAAGTTCATTACACATGTATTAACAATTAGAAAATGAGCTACTAATTGTGTGTACCACTTCACGGAGCTATGTGGAATGGTTCTAGTTGCCAGCTTCTCACTGATTGCCTCAAAAGATATATCATCCCTCAACACACCATATTTTAGTTTTCTATGATCCACTAAAGCCCTTAGGCATAGATCAATGTTTACAAAATAAAATAATTTTTTAAGCTCCTTTCGTGACCACTGTTGTTGCATCTTGCTAACCAAAGGCGGGCCCATATTACAGTCAGTGGGTGCCCCCACTGAAATCTTTGACATATGCATAGTTGATATCATACCCTTCAAATTTTTGTTTGCCTTAGTAAGCCAAATGATTCAGACAACTCCTTTAAGCCACTGAAGAATGACAATGATAATACTCCTTTAATAAATTTTGGCTTCTTTTCTTTTGGCCGGATTTAGTCCAACATGGGAACTTTTTGACAGGGATTCATTAAACTGATGTTGCTGAAAATTAAGTTATGTTGATGAGATACAAATTGTCAGTTTATTGTCAGTATGCAGTTGGAAAGCAATGTATTTTCTGTTGTAATTCTAAAATTTTTATTTGAACTCGTGTTTGTTAATTTGTGGATGAGGGATTATTTATTCATAGAATATCTGCAAGCTTGAAAGTTTGTGGTTAACCATTTACCATCTCGTATTCATTGTGTTTTATTTTTGCAGGATGTTTTTGATGGTTTTAGTGAGTCTGTATTAGATATTGTAATGTCCAAATCAATGTTAAACTTGAATTGTTCATTTTTTTTTTATTGTACTTGTCTAAAGCTTCCCCCCCTCCATTTCTCTCCATTATATCTTGTCACTCAGCCAGTGGGGATTCACTTCTGATTAAGGGTGGTTTTGTTTTCATATCCTGCTTTATTTTTATTTACTTACTGCAGGTTCTTGAAGCGGTTTAATGGGTGATCATCAAAAGCATAGAATTCTAATGGTTTCAGATTTTTTCTATCCCAACTTTGGTGGCGTGGAGAACCACATATATTATCTCTCCCAGTGCCTGTTGAAGTTGGGTCACAAGGTTAGAGAACAAAATTTCAACATGTTCCTAAGATGTTCAAATCTTAGGTCATTGATAGGGTTCTATTACAAATGGTCTTTGCTGCTTGAGAGTGCAAGGAATGGAGGGGAAGTTTGAATATTACTAAAACAGGTTTTCTACCTTTATTCTCATCATGGAAGCCAGAAAGTAAGATGAATTTCCCATAGAGGTGTTACTGTAAAAGTACAGAAAATAAGTTGTCTTTTGATATACATTTGTATCTTTTTTATTTTGTTCCATCAAATTTATTTATTTAAATTAGAATTAGCATATTGGGTTTTGGGAAAAACTAGTTTGTATCTTTTTTATTTTGTTCCATCAAATTTATTTATTTAAATTAAAATTAGCATATTGGGTTTTGGGGAAAAACTAGTTTTCCATAATTTTCAAATTATCCTTGCTCAGTGTGGGTAAAATTAGTTGTTACATGAACTTTTTAAACTATGATTTTTCAGGTGGTGGTTGTAACACATGCTTATGGAAATCGTTCTGGGATTAGATATATGACCAGAGGCCTGAAAGTCTATTATGTACCATGGAGACCATTCTTTATGCAGAATACGCTACCAACAATTTATGGGTTAATGCCAATTATAAGGACCATCCTCATTCGAGAAAAAATAACCATAGTGCATGGACATCAAGCCTTTTCAACATTTTGTCATGAAGCTCTGATGCATGCAAGAACCATGGGATACAAGGTTGTGTTTACAGATCATTCACTGTATGGCTTTGCTGACATTGGAAGCATCCATATGAACAAGGTTTTGCAGTTTACGTTGGCAGATATAAGTCAAGCCATATGTGTTTCACATACAAGCAAGGAAAATACTGTGTTACGGTCAGGTTTGCCACCAGAAAAGGTTTTTGTCATACCTAATGCTGTTGATACTGCCATGTTCAAGCCGGCAGATGAGCGTCCCAGTAGAGAAGAGATTGTTATTGTTGTTATAAGTCGATTGGTTTACCGGAAGGGTGCTGATTTACTTGTTGAAGTCATTCCAGAAGTGTGCCGCTTATATCCCAATGTGAGTTATTAAAGAGATTGTTAGGTTACCTACAACAACAAAAACGAGCCAAATCCCATGCCATAGTGAAATTTAGAAAATCCCTGCGAATGATTGAGATTGAACATATTCTTTTAAAATTAATGGACATTTAATATCTTTAGGCAAAGCACCTGTCCCATGCTGCATTTAAATGAATGTGTAGGAGTAAACTACCATTTTAGTTCCTTAAGAGATTTCTATTTCATCAATTTAGTCCTTTGAATATTTTTATAAATAGACTCTTATGGCTGTAGTCCTAGTTTCAGTATTAACATTAATTGATGCCCATAAGAAAGCGGGAAAAATAGTTCTGCTGGGTGTCATTGCTTTTTATCATTTCCAATTTTTGACGGCTAACAACATGCACTAGAGCATCTATTTCAAACCCTGTAATTAAAACAGATGATTGAATTGGAAGAGGGGAGAAGTCTTCAGACTGTCATATTATGGTCATGCTCAGAATATAATGAGGTAAACTATATTCAATTTTGTAAAAAAAATGTTCTCCAACATTGTTGGGGGAAGATTTCCTTCTTGATTCTTAAAGGAAGCAAACTTCCAAAAAAAAAAAAAACGAAGAGAAGAGAGAAAGCAAGCTCAAGCATGCAGCACATCTTTCCAATTTCCCTCCATTTCTCCAAGAGCGTTTCCCTTAGAACACTCATGTGACCAAAGCCATAGTGAGGCCATAGACACAACTTTTTCCCACGACAACAATATTATGGTTGGAGAGTTCAGCATTGTTTGTGGCTTGACATAATACTACATTATTCAATTTGTTGAAGTGGGCTCTATATATATACCTACAGAATGCTATTTTTGGAAATTTGATTACATGGTTTGATGTTAACCTGCACATTTGTGTAGAACTTAGTGGAATCAGATGTTCACATGTATCATGTATGTCAGCCATGAGATATGAAGGTTTTATTTGTTAACAGAAACTACTGAACCTGTGGAATTTGGTGATTTTAAGGACTCCCTGTATATTTTTATTTTTCAGTGTTCTTCTTGTTCTTAAGTGTTCATTATTAGTGCTTTAAAGATATTTTTTATGCTGGAGCCATATTCAATAACCCATAAATATATCGCTGTTAGAATGAATTTTGGTATTTAGAATAAGAGTGGTTACATGGTCATGGAATTTCAAAAGCATGGCTAATATGATTTCAGGTCCGTTTCATTATTGGTGGGGATGGAGCAAAGCGGGTGCGGTTGGAAGAGATGAGAGAAAAGCATTCTCTTCAAGATCAAGTTGAAATGTTGGGAGCTGTGCCACATGACCAAGTTCGTTCTGTTCTAATAACTGGGCATATCTTCTTAAACAGGTATAATTTTCTTGGATGTTCCCTCTTTTCTTTTTCAAGTTTTGATTACTACTTTTGATGTGAAGCTTTTATTCTGATGTGATAGTTATAGTTATAAGTAGAAATTGATACCTGTAATTGGAGTGATTTTCCTTCTTAGATGAGTGCTGAGGTTCTTAGGTTTCACTAGTTGTTATGTAGCTGGCTAGTACAAGTTTTTATGTTTAGGTTCTTGCACCATCAAACCAAAAAAATAAAAAAAATCCAATTGTTCTCTCCATTCTTGTTGCTTCTAGCTTTAAATGGCATCTTTAGGAAGTAAATGCTAAAAAATCTGTCTCTGTTTGGGGAACCTACCTTTTGGTCTTTTATTCTCTGAGGCTGTTGCAACAGTTTTTCCTCTTTCATATGTTTGAGAGTAATAGTGTAATTGTTCGGTTTATTTAGTTTTTAAGGCTTGGAATATGACAAGTTAGCTGGATCAACAGATATTTAGACTTAAATATTCCCTTGTTTTGGGACCACAATATTGTGTCATTGATGGCGTGAGATGGCCCAACTGATCAAAACCTATCATAGAAGGGAAAAGGCAAGGGATAGGCATGAATTGGCAGAGACTAGGGGCAAATGGCATTGAACTCTGACAAATATAATGGAGGAAGAGAGTGTGTAGGAGTACAGTGGGATTGGTAGTGGAGAGTGCCTATTTGGGCCATTTTCTTCCAAAAAAACTAATGAGTTATCTGGGTTCAGGCTTGGCCTGAATTTTTTTTTAAGCCTATTCTGGCCATTTTTTTAAAAAAACTAAAGAGTTATCCGGCTTGCCTCGAATAGGCCCGAACAATAAAATTATGTTATGTTGTGAATCCTGGCCTTTTTAGCCCTAAACTTTTTCTGGCTTATTCGAGTCTGCCTGTCAGGTTTGGCCTGAATTACGGGTTTTACTTTTGATGTGAAACTTTTATTCTGATGTGATAGTTTTAGTTATAAGTAGAAATTGATCCTTGTATCCTATCAAAATAAGAAATTGATACTTGTAATTGGAATGATTTCCTTCTTAGATGAGTACAGAGGTTCTTAGGTTTCACTAGTTGTAATGTAGCTAGCTAGTAAAAGTTTTAATGTTTAGGTTCATGCACCATCAAACCCAAAAAACTCCAATTATTCTCTCCATGCTTGTTGCTGAAAAATCTGTCTTTGTTTGGGGAACCTACCCTTTGGTGTTTTATTCATTGAGGCTGTTGCAACAGTTTTTCCTCTTTCATATGTTTGTCATAAAGGTAGTAATTTGCGCAAGTCCGAATAAGCCCAAAAAATTTTATGGCCTGGCTTGGGAAGTTAAAAGATTTTTCTTTATTTCAAGCTTATCCGGGCCACTTGAATAAACCCAAAGAAATCCGGCCAAACTCAAACTTAAATGGGCTTAGCTTGAATGCTCGTATTCTTTTTTTTTAATTAATAAAATAATATAAAAAGTGAAAATATTAATTTTTTAAAATGAAATTGAAATTAGAGAAAAAAATGAAATAAAATCATATTAATAGGGTATTCGGGCCAGCCTGAGGAATCAGGGTCTTGCTTGGCCGTATGGGCTTTTTTCTTTATGGTTTGATACTTTAAGCTAGATCCGAATCAATCTGGTCCGAATTGAGCCTTATCTAAATAAGCCCACCCTGCCGGAATTACCAATTCTAATGTTTGAGAGTAAATAGTCGGTTTATTTAGTTTTTAAGGTTTGAAATATGACAAGTTAGTTTAATCAACAGATATGGAGACTCAACTATTGCCATATTTTGGGATAGTAATATTGTGTCATTGATGGGCTTGAGATGGCCCCACTGATCGAAACCTATCATGGAAAGAAATAAAGGCAAGGGAGAGGCTTGAGTTGGCGGAGATTGGGGGCAAATGGCATTGAACTCTGACAAATATAATGGAGGAAGGGAGTGTGCCCGAGCAGGGTGGCATTGGTACTGGATAGTGCTAGCCTCTTGTGTAACGTGGAGAGCCTGCTCTCTTCTGTTTTTCCTTTTTATGTGCTTGTTTGCTGTTATGTATGTGAGCAACTAAGTCCGTCCTTCATGCTTATACTGATTGGAGGCTTGCATGGTCATTTTGTTAAGGTTGTGGTCATTTTATTAAGGCTTATTGTTCTGTCAGTTTCCAAGGGATGGGTCGAGGAACATGATATAATCTTGATAGAATTGATTGCTGTTGTCTTAGCTAACAGTTACTCAGATGTTTACTACTGAATTGGCCTAAGGCTTCTTTGGGGAGGCTAGGCTTATCTGTCCTGTGCTCAACTCAGGGAGGGCTTTTTTTGGGCTGGCCTAAATAAGCCTGAACTTATAAAAAAGCCATTGTAGACAAGTTTGGGCCTAACACTTTCAGTCTTTGGGCTTATTTGCGCAGCCCGAATTTCAGAATTGTGAATTTTTTCCCATTTTTTAAACAATTTTTAATTGTTATATCAAGATAATTATTTTTTACTATAAAAAATGTAAAATATTTGTTTAAAACAAAATTTGGTTCTTAATATTTAAATATAAAGATAAAATGAATTTTAACTATTTTTTAAGTTCAATATACTCAAATTTATGGTCTCCTATTATAACATGAACGAAAATTTAAAGGATTAATTAATATCTACTGTTTTATATATATGTGTATATATATTTAAAAAAAACTATTGAGTTATTCAGGTCAAGCCCGAACTGATTGGGCTCGATTCGGGCCAAATTTTTTTTTTTTTAAACTAAAGAGTCATTCAAGTAAGTGTCAAGCTTGAACTTGCTTGAATTCTTTCCGGCCTATTCGGGCCATGGTTTTTTAAAGAGTCATTTGGGTATTCGGGCTTGGCCCGAATTGTTCCAAGCTCGAATAGGCTTGAACATTAAAAATATGTGATGTGAAAGTCTCATTCTGATGTGGTAGTTTTAATTATAAGTAGAAATTGATCCTTGTATCTTTTCAAAACAAGAAATTGGTACTTGTTATTGGAATGATTTCCCTTCTTAGATGAGTACTGAGGTCCTCATGTTTGTGTTTGTTTTCTGTTATCTAAGTGACCAACTAAGCTAAGTGCTTCATAGTTGTACTGATTGGGGGGCTTACGTGGATATTATGTTAAGGTTTATTGTTCATTCGGTTTCTTCATTTTACACCTGCTTCCCAGCAGACACTCCATGGGATGGGCTGAGGAACATGATATTGATCCTGATAGAATTGATTTCTGTTGTGTTAGCTAGCAGTTTCTCAAATGTTTGCTAGTGAATTAGCTTGCTCAAAATCTTTAATATGATACAATTCAACTAAGGCACGTCTTCTTCAAGCGGACCTGGCTTATTTGGGTTGGGCTTGGTTCGGAGAGGGCTTCTTTGGGTTGGCCTGAATAAGGGCATACTTTTAAAAAAGCCTACTTAACCAAGCCTGGCCTTAACACACTTGGGCTCCGGGCTTATTTAGGATGATCTGAATTCTCGAATTGCAATTTTTTTTCCATTTTTTAAAAACAAAATTTTAATTTTTACTTTAGAATTAATTATTTTTTATTATAAAATCTTCTTTTTGGAATACTTAAAAATATAGAAGACTCAATTTTTTTAAAATTTCAGTCGTTTTATTTAAAAATAAATATAAAATACATTTTAAATATTATTTTAAGTTATTTTATATTTGAAAAAAGAAAAAAAAATGTAACAATATAAATATTTTTTCTTTTTTGGAGAAAGTATTTATAATAATATACTCAAATATATGGTTTCTTATTATCAAATGAACTAAACTTTAAATGATTAATTAATATGTTCATACTTGTTGCTTCTCGCTTTTAACAGCATCTTGAGGAAGTAGATGCTGAAAAATCTGTCTTTTGTTTGGGGAACTTACCCTTTGGTGTTTTATTCTTTGAGGCTGTTGCACCAGTTTTTCCTCTTTCATATGTTTGTGAGTAAATAGTCGGTTTATTTTGTTCTAAAGACTTGAAATATGACAAGTTAGTTTGATAGGTAGGGGAGAGTGCCAGCATCTTGTGTAACGTGGAGAGCATGCTCTTTTCTGTCTTTCTTTTTCATTCTCATGTTTGTGTGCATGTTTGCTGTTATCTCTGTGACCAACTAAGAAGTCCTTCATTCTTATACTGATTGGGGGTTTACGTGGTTATTATGTTAAGGTTTGTTGTTCAGTCAGTTTATTCATTTTACACCTGGTTCCCTTCAGACACTCCAAGGGATTGGCTGAGGAACATGATATTGATCCTGATCGAATTGATTGCTGTTGTCTCAGCTAGCAGATACTGAAATGTTTAGTAGTGAATTAGCTTGTTCATAATCTTTAATTTGATGCAATTCAACTAAGCTAAGGCTTCATTGGGCAGGTCAGGCTCAAGTTGGAGAGAGCTTCTTTGGGTTGGCCAGAATAAGTCTGAACTTTAAAAAACACTGATATAGCCAAGCCCAGTTCTAACACTCTTGGTCTTTGGGTTATTAGGGATTGCCCGAATTCTAGAATTGTAAGTTTTTTTAGATTTTTTAAACAAATTTTATTTTTTTACAATAAAATTAATTATTTTTAATTATGAAAAATATAAAATATTCTTTTTGGAATACTTAAAAAATATAGATGACTCACTTTTCTTTTAAAAAAATTTGGGTCTTGATATTTAAATATAAAGGTAAAATATATTTTAAATATTTTTTAAGTTATGTTATGTATGAAAAATAATCAAAATATAAAAGTATTGATTTTTTTTATTTTTTTGAGAAAGTATCTATATTAATATACTCAAATTTATGGGCTCCTATTATAACATGAACTAAAACTTAAAGGGTTAATTAATATTTACTATATTATATATATTTTTTTAAAAACTAAAAAGTTATTTGGGTCAAGCCCTAACTGATCTTTATTTTTTTAAAAAAATAAAAAGTCATTCGGGTATTTGGGTCAAGCCCAAACCCGATCAGGCTTGGCCTAAATTCTTTCAGGCTTATTCGGGCCATTTTTTGAAAAACTAAAAAGTCACTGGGTATTGGGGTTGAGCTTGAACCCGATTGGGCTTGGCCTGCACATTAAAAATATGTGATGTGAAACTTTTATTCTGATGTGATAGTTTTAATTGTAAGTAGAAATTGATCCTGTATCCTATCAAAACAAAAAATTGATACTTGTATTTGGAATGATTTTCCTTCTTAGATGAGCATTGAGGTTCTCTTGTTTGCTTGTTTGCTATTATCTCTGTGACCAAGCTAAGTCCTTCATGCTTATACTGATTGTAGGCTTACGTGGTTATTGTGTTTAATTTTTATTGTTCAGTCAGTTTCTTCATTTTACACCTGACTCCCCTCACACACTCCAAGGGATGGGCTGAGGAACATGATATTGATCCTGATGGAATTGATTGCTGTTGTGTTAGCTAGCAGTTACTCAAATGTTTGCTAGTGAATTATCTTGTTCATTATCTTTAATATGATACAATTCAACTAAGCCAAGCCTTCTTTGGGTGGGCTGGGCTTATTTGTGCCGTGTTCAATTTGGGGAGGGTTTCTTCAGGCTGGCCTAAATAAACCCAAACTTATAAAAAGTCCAGACAGGCAAGATTGACCCTAACATTTTCGGTCTTCGGGGTTGTTCGTGATAGCCCAAATTTCGGAACTGTAATTTTTGTTCCATATTTTAAACAAAATTTGATTTTTTTACTTTAAAATTAATTATTCTTATTATAAAAAATATAAAATATTCTATTTGGGATACTCAAAAAATTATAGAAGACTCAATTTTTTTTAAAAAAAATTTGTCTTTGTGGAAATATATAATATTTAATGTAAATATTTGGTGATTATTCCCGCAGATATTATACGATCATATAGGATCAGATTTATTAGGGAAGTTTTGATTTTATTCTCTATCATTGTAAATCCCTTCTTTCTCGGCCCAAATCATGGCTTCCCTTCTGTATATTTTCTGTCGACACCCACTGAATAAAATAAGTTCAGTTTTGCTCATTTATCTTCAGTCTTAATATTTAAATATAAAGTAAAATACATTTTAAATATTTTTCAAGTTATGTTCTATATGCTAAGTAATAAAAATATAACAATATTAATATAATTTTTTAGAAAGTATCTATATTAATATACTCAAATTTATGGTCTCCTACTATAACATGAGCTAAAACTTAAAAGGATTAATTAATGGAAGAATGACAGAGAGGTCCCAAAAGGATCAATTGATTCAAGGTAGGTCCTAAGTGTCAAATTTCATGATTTTGCTACTCAATATTTCAATTTTACAACTTCGTTGTGATGAATTTGCAACTTGTATTACAAATTTTAACAGGAAAAATAAATTCTTTTATTCTTCAACCATGTTAAAATTTGAAAAACAAGTTACAAATTCATCACAATACAGTTGCAAAATTGAGAGATTGAATTGCAAATTTTTAGAGTTTGGCACTTGAGCCCTAGCTTGAATTAATTGGTACTTTTGGAACCTTTTTGTCATTCTCCCATTAATTAATATCTAATATATTACATGTGTGTGTGTGTGTGTGTGTTTTTTTTTTTTTTTTTTAAAAGAACTAAAGAGTTATTCTGGTCAAGCATGAACTGATTGGGCTCGGCCCAAATTGTTTTGGGCCTATTTAGGCCTTTTTTAAAAAAAAAAAACTAAAGAGTTGTTTGGGTATTTGGGCTTGGCCTAAATTGTTTCGGGCCAATAGGTCTTAACATTAAAAATATATGATGTGAAACTTTTATTCTGTAGTAGAAATTGATCCTTGTATCCTATCAAAGCAAGAAATTGATACTTGTTATTGGAATGATTTTCCTTCTTAGATGAGTATTGAGGTTCTTAGGTTTCACTAGTTGTAATGTAACTAGCTAGTAAAGTCTTTATGGTTAGGTTCTTGCACTATCAAACAAAAAACTGCAATTGTTCTCTTCATCCTTGTTGCTTCTAGCTTTAAATGGCATCTTTGGGAAGTACATGTTGAAAAATCTGTCTGTGTGTGGGGAGCCTACATTTGGTGTTTTATTCTTTGAGGCTGTTGCGACAGTTTTTCCTCTTTCATATGTTTGAGAGTAATACTGTAATGGTCGGTTTATTTAGTTTTTAAGGCTTGAAATATGACAAGTTAGTTTGATCAACTGATATGGAGACTCAAATATTGCCATGTTTTGGGATCGGAATATTGTGTCATTGATGGGCTTGAGATGGCCCCAATGATCGAAACCTATCATAGAAGAAAAGGGGCAAGGGAGAGGCATGAGTTGGCGGAGATTGGGGGCAAATGGCATTGAACTCTGACAAATATAATGGAGGAAGTGAGTGTGCTGGAGTCGTGTGGGATTGGTACTGTATAGTGCCAGTCTCTTGTGTAACGTGGAGAGCCTGCTCTCTTCTGTATTTCCTTTTCATTCTCATGTTTGTGTGCTTGTTTGCTGTTATCTCTGTGACCAACCAAGCTAAGTCCTTCATGCTTATACTGATTGGAGGCTAGGTTATTTTGTTAAGGTTTATTGTCGTGTCAGTTTCACCATTTTACACCTGATTCCCATCAAACACTCCAAGGGATGGGTCGAGGAACATGATATGATCCTGATAGAATTGATTGCTGTTATCTTAGCTAGTAGTTACTCAAATGTTTGCTACTGAATTGGCTCGTTCATGATCTTTAATACGATAAAATTCAACTAAGCTAAGGCTTTTTTGGGAGGGCTAGGCTATGTGTGCCGTGCTCAATTCAGGGAGGGCCTCTTCGGGTTGGCCCAAATAAGTCTAAACTTATAAAAAAGCCCTTGTACACTTTCAGTCTTCAGTCTTATTGGGGTAGTTTGAATTACAGAATTGTGATTTTTTTCCATTTTTTAAGCAAAATGTAATTTTTATATTGAAAGTTAATTATTTTTGTTATAAAAATATAGAAGACTTAATTTTTATTTTAAAAAATTCGGTCTTAATTTTTAAATATAAAGATAAAATAAATTTTAACTATTTTTTAAGTTATTTTACGTATGAAAATAATGAAAATATAACACATTGATTTTTTTTTTTTTTTGGGAGAAAGTATCTATATTAATATACTCAAATTTATGGTCTCCTATTGTAACATGAACTAAAATTTAAAGGATTAATTAATATCTACTATATTATATATATATATATATTAAAATACTAAAGAGTTATTCGGGTCAAGCCCAAACCGATTGCGCTTGATTTGGGCCATTTTTTTAAAAAATAAAACTAAAGAGTCATTCAGGTATTTGTGTCAAGGCTGAAGCCGATTGGGCAATTCAGGCGTAAAGAGTCATCTGGCTATTTGGGCTTGGCCCAAATTGTCTCAGGCTTATTTGGGCCAGCCTAGGTCCGAACATTAAAAATATGTGATGTGAAACTCTTATTCTGATGTGATGGTTTTAATTATAAGTAGAAACTGATCCTTGTATCGTATCAAAACAAGAAATTTGTAGTTGTTATTGGAATGATTTTCCTTCTTAGATGAATACTGAGGTTCTCATGTTTGTGTGCTTGTTTGCTGTTATCTCTGTGACCAACTAAGCTAAGTGCTTTATGCTTGTACTGATTGGGGCCTTACATGGTTATTATGTTAAGGTTTATTGTCAGTTGGTTTCTTCATTTTACACCTTGTTCCCATCAGACACTCCAAGGGATGGGCTGAGGAACATGATATTGATCCTGATAGAGTTGATTGCTGTTGTGTTAGCTAGCAGTTACTCAAATGCTTACTGGCGAATTAGCTTGTTCATAATCTTTAATATGATACAATATAGATTTTATGCGTCAAAATCTTGAATTTCAACAAAAATACTGAGGAAGAACTGTATTTACTGTTACCTTGCTTGTAAAATTTTTGTTTTAAAAAATATGATTTATTTGTACCTTCTATTCATTCTTTCTTGTCCCCTATTGTTGCAGTTCCTTGACGGAGGCATTTTGCATAGCCATATTAGAGGCTGCTAGTTGTGGATTGTTAACAGTTAGCACTAGAGTTGGAGGTGTTCCTGAGGTATGTATCATTGATATTCTCTCTGTACTTGTTCAAACTGTGAACATATGTGTCTTTGAATCTTTTTTTTTTCTTTAATCTTTCGAGGGTTTTTGTTATGATAGAGCACAATGGCGTCTTACAATCCATGTAGCCGACCCCATCTAGTGAGATAAAGGCTCGTTGTTGTTGTTGTTGTTTGTAATCTTTCGAGGGTTTTTGTTATGATCTTAAGTTTCTTACCTATTAATCATTGTCATAATAATGTCACACTTGAATTTGGGTCGACTTTATTTTTTTGTTTCTAGGTTTTGCCAGAGGACATGATTGTTTTGGCGGAACCTGATCCTAGTGCTATGGTGCAAGCAATTGGTAGAGCAATCTCTATGTTGCCAGAGATTGATCCACAAGTCATGCACAAGAGGGTGAATTTCTAGTTTTAAGAGTCTTTCTCTGAGGGAGTGAATCAGTTTCTTATTTTTCACCTGTATTTTATGCAGATGAGGGAGCTCTACAATTGGCATGATGTTGCCAAAAGGACTGAGATTGTATATGACAATGCTCTAAGGTGCTCCAATCAAAATCTGCTGGAACGTCTTTCACGGTACACTCGGAATATCTCATGTGAAATGTAACTAATGCATTATTGTAGTAGCAAGTTTGTTGTTTATTGAGTTTAATTTTGTTATTTTGTTAAATACTGGAAAGAAAACAAATTTTTTAATTTTGCCAATACTGGTGTAGCTAGATATGTAGTTCCAGTTTAGAATTGGGTCGATTGATAGATGGTTTGGTAGTTGGCCTAACCTACTAGACCCGTGATAATTCGGAAGTTAGCTAAGATTGTCATGGGCTCAAGTCCTTGACTAAATTTGTATCAGATACTTGAGATGTACCCCTTCCAGATTACAATAAAAGTCATTATTAACTAATTTACGTTTCTCAAAAAAGGTTGGTTAAAATTTTTATTTTCTAAAAATTTACACATCTTTCCAATTGTGTCCTTGAGTGTAATATAGTATTTAACTTATTCAAAATACCCTCGTTAAGTACTCAATAAAGTAAGGGTGTAATTGGAAAAAAATGTATGGCAATGGCACCTACCCAATGCCTTATATTTTGGACTAAGTAAAGATTTTAAAAAAATGACTTATATTGTGGTTTGGAGAGGGTAATTCAAGTCCCTGACTAAATGAGATGCAAATTCCTCTCATACACCATCTATATGGTGTGACAACTCATGAACTGTGGCTTTAGCTGCCATTCCTGTATCCTGTAGTGGACACTAAAACCAAGATATGGTGCTAAATTTGCATTTCATCAGAATAATGAGGACAGATGGAATATTGCAGGTTAACTTAGTTTTTTCTGTAGATCAGTGGAAGATGACCTGCTCATGAAGGCTTCATCTTATGCTAGGTTTTCCTATCTTAGATATAAGTCAAGTTTATTTGCGCTAGAGGAGCTAGCTGTCCCTAATGAATCTTTGTCTTGTGGTAGTGAAGCTGATAGTTGTCTTCGTGTTATTGTCATGTACAGATTCGTTTTTGGCTTGCTGTTGTTTGAACCGTCCTCTTATTATTTTTCTGTTTTTTTTTTTTTTGCCGTGAATATATGATAGAGGTAGAAGAGAAAGAGAGAGATGTAGAAGGGAAATAGAGAGAGAGAGAGAGAAGAGACTAATTCATTTTCACAAGATCCCATTATATTTCTAAGACCCTATTTATAGAAATATAACTAAATGCCCAAACTACCCTTACATCTCTGATTTCTCTAATTAACCTTACTAATTCTAATGTATCAATATACATACATTCGTGCGTATAGAGAGAGAGAGAGAGAGAGAGAGAATGAAACTTTTGGTTTTTTAAGTTTGTTTTAGCTATTGATTTGGTTTGAAGTTTTATAACCATACACAATTAGTTCTTATGATGTTATTTTCCCTTCAAATCAAAAGAACGAACTGGCTATGATTTGGAAACTTTAGGTACTTGGTTGATCACGATGAAATTTCAAGAACCAAATTGATGATTGAGTCAAACTCAAAGGATCGAAAGTTTCATTATCCTCATATACAAGACCCATGATAATTCAGTGAATAGCTAATAAAGTCAAGAGGTTAACTCAGTGCCAAGAACCTTTGGTTCAGTTGGCATGGGGGCATCCTTGTGATGCTCGGATTGTGGGTTTGAACTGTGCTTACAAATGTTTCGACATTTGCCTACAAAAAAAAAACAAAGAAAGAAAAGAAAGAAAGAGCGAGCGAGCTTAACTCACTGACAATATGTGTCATAAAATTCAGATTGGAATATTAATAAATCCTCTTGGTCTGTGATTCTCTGTTGACAGAAGATTGATCTATTGTTTAGGAAGGACAGGAGTCTGATTTTATTTATAAATCTTCCTCTTCACCGAAAGAAATATTGCTGCCATCTTAATGTATCATATTTCTTGGGTTGCTGATAGCCTAGTATCCTTTTTAGGTACCTGTCATGCGGATCATGGGCAGGCAAGCTCTTTTGCTTAGTTATGATTGTTGGCTTTTTGTTATGGCGTCTATTGGAACTATGGCAGGTAGGATGGTGCATTGGTATGTGTTTGGGAGAATTACAGTTTGAGGCCAAAATATGAATCTAATTTTAATTTAGGATAAAAAAAAATTCAATAAAGGACCAAAGATCCGTAAATAATTTTACAATAATATTCTGAAAAAGGTCATGGGTTCAAAACTCGTTGTTGATATGGGGATTTTGTTAGTGAGTGATTTGTAAGTGCCTTTGTAAATATTTTTTGAACCTGGAAGCATGCCAATGGCCATTAGTGCCTTGGGACCAGGACCCAACTCATCTTAACTTTTTTGTTATAAAATATATATATTCTGAAATTTGATGATGATATTCCAAAATTTGATGATAATATTCTAAAACTCTGTTACTGTCAAATTGTAGAATATCAGTATCAACTTGGTTAATGATGACCTTTGGTTCTTTATTAAAACTATTGGTGCCAAATTTTAACATTAGTCTTTAGGATGCCAATTTTTGGAATATCAGCATCAAATTGTGGAATATCAGTGTCAACTTATTCAATGACCTTTGGTCATTTTCTCGTTTTATAATCCTAGTCCGAAACTGAAATTAAATTCTTCTTTCGGTCTCAAACTGTAATTTCCCCATGTGTTTTGACATTTTCAATTTTGTTTCTGTGGTGATTTTTCACTTTTCTTGGGTATTTCCATTAGCCTGCAGATGAGATTGAGGTGGTGCCAGATGTTATTCTTCCCGACAGCCACCATGAAGAGATTTTACATCAATCAAAGCCAATGAGATGAAGAGCACGATACAATAATGTTGGAGTAAATCCTATATGCTTTTTCTTGAGTTTTATTATTGAAATTATAGGGACATCTCTTTCATTTTCAATAACTTGTACATACCTCTCATGAAACAAGAATATAAACCACATAGCTTCTTTTAAAGTTAAGCAATCGAAATTTCTTCTAAAAACAAGGAATATTTAGTACAGGTATTTTCCGTGCTTGTTTGTTTATCATTACATGAATGAATATTTATTTTATTTTCTAGGAAAGTTTAGAATTTTATTAAATTTATTTTATTTTTTGTAATTATTTTATTGTGAAATTAGGTTCTTTAACCTAATTTTAAATTAGGTTTTTGAGGTTCATGTTAGTGTTACTTTAATTATTGCACTTTGGATTGTATAAATGGCTTGAAGTTTGAAAAAAAAAAAAAAGAGACAATTGGCTCAGAGGGCAAGGAATCTGAGTTCCCTTAACCATCAGCTTTTGGATTCGATCTCTAATGTGATGGGAATGGAAAAAATATGTTTGGAAGAGCCACTTTTTTGGGGGCCTAACAATGCTCGAATTTGGATTTGTTGGGGCTGTCAGCTTTGGATATTGAATTGTTATACCAAAAAAAAAAATTCTATTTAAATTTTGAATTGAATGGTTACATACTTACATATAATGGTTCAAAATGTCTATTTTAAATTTTCATAAGTTAGGAAATAATTATAACAATTCTGAGTTGGATTTTCAATTTCATAAATACATGTTCATTATATACAATAATAAGCTAAAAAATTAGGAGGGCGAGCCGACCTTTATAAGACGTGCATAAGTTCTTATATTTTGAAATCCTATTCTGAAATTGAAGACTTTTGCTGGAAATATTTTAGTTTTAAAAATTCAAAAAAAATTAATTGGCATAATCTTAAATTAAATAAAAAACCTTATAACTAAAATAAGTAAAAAAAAAAGTTTCAATAAAATCCCATCGTTTTGAGCTCCAATTTCATTTTTGTATTTGAATGGTGGTTTAGCCATCTTGACCAACTTAGGTCTTAAAAACATTGCCCTTATTTATTACTCCGTCTGATCTTATTTGTAGACTGTAAAATATATTATATTTGATAATAATTAAACATTTTTTCAATTTTATTTTTATTAACATAAAAAATATTTAATATAGTTGTATCATTATTTAAAATGAAAGGTAAAAATAAAAATATATATAATTTTTTTATGATATTAAGAAAAAATTAATTGTTTTAAAATATATAAAATGATTGAAAATATTTTATAATAATAACTGGATGGGTATTTATGAGGATTTAAAAAGACGTTGAGTCTGTTGTCAAACTTTGAATATTTCGACTCCTTAATATAAAATTACGGTTTTAGAGAGTGAAAAATAAAATAAAATAAATGGGTGGCAGGACTGCAGGAGGATGAGTCACGTTCTGTTATATGAATATCCAATGTGTTGTCTGTTATTTTTTATTATCATCTAAACATTAAAAGGAACTGTTTTTGTTTTTTCTTTTTTTTTTTTTTGTCACTTTACCTTTAATCCATTCACATGAACTCGCGGTCTTAATTGTAGCTATAATAAAAAATTAGGAAAAAACCAATCACTGAGTAGTTGATTTCAAACTTGGTTCAACTTAATCTTCTAATTTTAATATTAATCCGTACAATTTATATTTTGGTTATAATCTAGCATTTGAAAAACTATATTTTTTTTTAACAGTACAAGGGCTAATTTATTAATGGCTCAAAGTTAAAGATACAAGTTAAAAAGATTAAAGGGCATTTTTACTCTACAATTATGCACTTAGAAACATTTGTTGTTTGAAACTTTTGTATGGTATAATTTTCTTTTTTGACTTTTCAAAATGATATATTGAGTATTCTATTATTAAAAATGTTAACTTTGATCAAAAATTATTCAAACAAATTACAAAAAAAGATCTTAAAAATTATAAAGAAGAACTTATAAAATTACAAATAAAATTCTATAAGAGAATTAATGTGGATTAGAACTCTTTTGATATTTTTTTGGAAGTTCTAAGGTTTTTTTTTGAAATTTTTTTAGGTAATTCTAACAGTCAAAGTATTTATTTTTAAATAAAATATCTAATGCACTATTTTCAAAAGTTAAAAGAAGAAATTACACATCATGTGAAAGTTAGGACATTAAACAACCAATATCCTTTAGATATTGTAACACTTGCCCTGAGTGTTATCCAAAAATCATTAAGTAAATATATAATTGCAAAGTAAACATTTAAAACCTTAAAAAAAATTATAGGTTATAACTATAGCGTAAGGAAGCAAGCTAGACGAAAGAGAAATAAAAAGATACTGTCATAACAGCATTTAAATTGCTGTCATGACAGCCCTCCCGGGTCAACTTCTGGAAGGCGCCGTTCCGCCATCCGACCTCCAATCGAAGTGATTTTAAAGCTCACACGTCACATTCAAAGGGTACTATAAGTATACCAAATTTCAAAAAGATCTAACGGTTGGATTAAAAATTAAACATGTTATAAATTTGGTTACTTTTGCTGTCATGACAGCTGTCATGACAGCACTTCCGGACCAATTTTCGGAGTGCACCATTTCATCATCTGACCTCCGATCGAAGTGATTTCAAAGCCCACATGTCGCTTTTAAAGAATACTATTAGCATACTAAATTTTGAAAAGATCCAACGGACGGATTGAATTTTGTGCAGGTTACAACATCAACACTGTAGCTGTCATGACAGCAATTTAATGTTGTCATGACAGCACCTCCAGACCAAATTCCGAAGTGCATCATTTCTCCGTCCGATATCCAATTGATGTGATTCCAAAGCCCACACGAAGCTTATAAAAGGTTTTACTTGTGACCCAAATTTTAGAGAAATCCAACGGTCGGATTAAGATTTGGACACCCGAATGCAAAAGTGCAGCTTTTTGGTAAAAACCATTTTCAAAATTGTCCAAATCTCATCCTAATGGTCACAAACCTGTGGAAACACTTTGGACACGTCAAATAAGATTAAAAATACCTGATAGAACATTCAAATGATGGAAAACCTCTATACATCAAAATTTGATCACCCGGGTGCCATTTCCTAAAATGGACTCTAGACCCCCAAAATGCACAAATCATACAAGAGTAGTCACAAATCAATCCAAATACCATGAATTTATATAAATACATATGCTAAACATTTTCACTTGGCTCAGAGCTCCTTGTGGGGCCCACGCACCCACTCTCTCTATCCAAGGTGTATGTTTGCCCATAGCACACCATTTGCAATGTAACCACTTTGCATTTGCATATAAAATCACATATATATCAAAATAAATATCTGCTTATAATAGAAACTTGGTCTACTAAGTAAATCCATCAAAACCACACACCATAACCAAGTTTTCTAGCCACAAGTCTACAAACAGACAAAAATTCATACACAAGCACACAATCCACACATATTCACACACACACACATAATCATATCCTACTGGCACCCTAATCTTAAATACATTACAATATATTTGCTCAAAAGAAAGGGGTTGCAGTTCTTTACAAATCACAAGCAAACCCCTAACTTTGCTCCTTTCCCCGTCCACCACTGGATCTTTCACCTGGACCTAGAATATTGAAAAAAAAGGGGTGAAACAACCACAGTCTCAGTAACAGTGAAATCTACATTGATTATTACAAAATAAGCCATAATCAAATAAACGAATAATAAATTCAACATAGTATACAATTTAGCCATTTAAAATGCATGAATGCATGACCTAGGCTGGTATGGCCTTTCATGACCAACAGAATGCCCCCGACACTCTTTAACTCGCAGGTAAACCTTATACCTACTTGTACCTCCACAGGCACAAAACATAATCTAAGGAATGATCTAATCCACCGAACCTCCTATGCCCCTTCGACGTGAATCCTAAGCAATTGAAGCTAACTCCCTCCCAAAGCTAGCCCAACTTACTTTCCATATGAGGGCTACCTTGGCCTAGGCACTCAACCTCACACTTCATATGTTGGATTCCCTCCCCCACTGAGAGGTGTCGAACACTCAATACACTAACCACTTTAGTGCACTGAGCCCACAATACGTAAGACAATACTGAGTACTGACAGTGTGCCATAAAATATCAAAAATCCACACCTTCTCATTAGTAAACTCCCACCGAGATCATGCCTTTTACTCTTGTCTATCTTTCCTGAGTATTGACCATTCAATACTCCAAAGTAGTATAATATTTATAAATCTCATTTCCATAAAAACATTGTTATTAAACAATTAGAAAACATATTTGCACTATAATCAAAGTAGTACCCCATAACCCCTTATAAAGCACATTTAATCTTTTAAAACATGTAATGCATGATAACTAGTAATATTTATTCAAAAATAGCTAAAATAAAGTAATAAAAAATATAAATTCCCCTGTTACCTCAATCCTTTGGTACCAAAAGGGTTTCCCTTGTACAAAATAAGGCTCAGCTTGTTCCTTACTTTTCAATAAGTTCCACCAACAATTTTCTACAACATATAAGTGATCCACATCACTTATCATGACAAATAGCATTAATGAAGACTATAACTCATACCATACAACTTAGGTCAATGAGTCATAATCCACCCTAATGGTCCATATATTAAACCAACCATTAACATAGTATCACTTAACCACCGAAACCATTTATTAGCCATCACTAGGCTAATTTTCAATTTATATAATTTTTTAATCAATTAAAAACCTTTACTTAGTACCACCAACTTTCACCATTAGCCCTTATAATGAAAACCAAACCTTAATTTAAATCTTATTGGGCTCAAATAGCAAAATTATAACTAAATCAATAGGCTTAAACCATTGAGGAGCAAAAACTCAATTTCTCAAGGTTTATTTTGTGCCCAAAACACCTCTTTTCATCCAATTATTCACTCAAAACATTAGATCACTATATAGAAACTCAAAATATGCTCCCTAGGATCCAAAGAAACAAAAGATTACAAGAATAAAGCCTTTGGGATCAAAATTTAAAAATCTCCTCTTCCAAAAATTGAAGAAAATCAAGAGAAAGGGAAGAGGATTGAAGTAGGGAGTTTACCTATCGTGTAGCCGAGCTCGCAACGGTCGCAAAGACTCTTAAATTCAAGCCTAACTCCCTCCCTTTCTCCTCTCTTCTCTCTCTCTCTCTCTCTGCGTTTCCTTTCCTTTTCTTTCCAATTCAGTTTCTGCGTTTCTGCATTTGTTTTGGCCTTTAAATTCCTGGTCAAAAAGTTTGGGGAAAATTACAAGAAAGGGCCCAATATTTTTTATTATTGCACAAAAACCTGGGTCAACTTTGGTAATTTTTTTCATAATTAAAAATTAAATAAAACCAAA